TGTGAGTTCGAGGCCAGCCTGGACTACCAAGTGAGTTCCAGGAAAAGGCGCAAAGCTACACAGAGAAACCCTGTCTCGAAAAACCTAAAAAAAAAAAAAAAAAAATATCAGATGGAAAGTTCCAGAATAAACCATTCATAAATGTTAAGTGTCATTCTGAGCAGCATGATTAAATCTTGTGCCCTCTTGCTCCATCCATCACACCAAGGCTGTGAATCATCCATTGTCCAATGTATCCATGCTGTATATGCTGCCTGCTCCTTAGTCACTTATTAATACCCCCCCAGCACTGAGACAGGTACCCCACCTTGCACGTGTTAGACATGAACTAACTCTACCACTGAATTCTCAAGCCTTATTAACCGTCTCTGACCAACGGTCACCATATTGAGGTCCTTTTATCAAGGTGGCACATAGGTTACTGAATAATGGCCCCATTGCACACTTGTAGGCCTGGTTCTGAGCTTAACACGGCTGGGAAGTGGTGAAAACTTTAAAGCTGGGGCCTGGTAGGATGGGTAGGTCATGTGCTCAGATGGGGCTTGTCTCCTCTCCTTCCCTTCCTTTATTTCCCGGCAGCCTTGAGATGAGGTTCTCGCTCTACCACACTTCCCTGCCACCATGTACTGCCTCACCTCCACCCAAAGGCCATGGAGCCAGCCAAGCACAGACAGACGTTACAAACCTGTGAGACAAAACAAACTCTTTCTCTTCATGAGTGGGTTTTTAATCCCAGGTATTTGCTATAGTAACGGAAAGCTAACCAATGGTGGTGATGCTGGCAATTTGCATATACTGAAGAGAAGCCACAGAGTGCTTCCTGTAGATGAAAAGGCTGTATCCTACTGTCCCTGATTTATAATTAAACTTTATCACAAGTGTAGCCTTAGGGAAGCATGTAGTATGTATCAGGCTTTGTACCTGTCTGAACTGATACAGGCAGAGCCTAGATTCATGTAGCCAAAGGCAAGGGAAGCCTGCAGATTCTCCCCAGGAGACTCCAGCGGGAACTGGCTCTGAGTACAACCTGCTGTGACTTCTAGCTTCTAGTGAGGCCTTGGGCAGTCCCTGCAGGCTATGATTCCCAGCGCCGTGCGTCAGCCTTAAGTCTACACACCTGACATGCAGCTCGCTACCCACAGAGCCTTCTGCTCCTGTGCCCTGAAACTGGGTCATGCACTAAGAAAACGGATGCCATTTCCTTCGGCACAACACGAGCCAGTTCCGGAGACAGAGCTCAACTCTAAAACACACCATCTTGACCCCTGTCCACAGTCCTGGACAGGCTTGGATATCATGCATCTGTTAACCTGTTTATGTCAAAAAAGACAAGGGCCATATGCTATGATGGGGATATGTCTTGGGTGTCCCTGAGGGCCCACTGGGATTGGAGCTTGAATCCCCATAGTGTCCCCATTGGGAGGTGGCTGAACCTTTAAGAGGTAAGGCCTAATAGGTCTTTAGGTCACGGGGAGTTTGCTGGTGGGAGGTGGTTCGCATGTGACTCTTTGGTAGTGCTTACAAGAGGGCTGACATGAAAGGAGCCTCGCCTGCTAAGTACTCTACCATTGAGCTAAATTCCCAGCACCAACCTTTTCTTTTTTTCTTTTTTCCCCTGAGACAGGGTTTCTCTGTGTAGTTTTGGTGCCTGTCTTGGATCTTTTTTTTTTTTTTTTTTAATTATGTCTACAGTGTTCTGCATATACACCTGCAGGCCAGAAGAGGGCACCAGATCTCATTACAGATGGTTGTGAGCCACTATGTGGTTGCTGGGAATTGAACTCAGGACCTCTGGAAGAATAGCCAGTGCTCTTAACCTCTGAGCCATCTCTCCAGCCATCTCTCCAGCCCCCTCTGAGCCATCTCTCCAGCCCCAGCACTAACCTTTTCTTGATGAGTGCCTGTGTCCACCATCATGTTATAGTGATGTGGAGGCCCACAAAGGTTTCCCAGTGAGATCCGAGCTTGCTTTACCCAGCAGGGCTGCATTAGAGGATTGCTTTACCATGTGCATGCTTTCTAGGTGATTGGAAAGGTCTGCACTTGGCTGTGCTAGGGGGAGGTCTTTGCTCCGCTCTTGGCATCCCTATAAATAGCCCTTCAGAAGAGCCAGAAGGGGCCAGTGGATAAGGATCCAGGCCCACCCAGCAGTGGTGGTGCATGCCTTTAATCCCAGCACTCGGAGGCAGAGGCAGGCGGATCTCTGTGAGTTCGAGGTCAGCCTGGTCTACAGAGTGAGTTCCAGGACAGGCTCCAAAGCTACACAGGGAAAGCCTGTATCAAAAAAAAACAAAACAAAACAACGCCCCCCCCCCAAAAAAAAAAACCAAAACCAAAAAAAAAATGATCCAGGCCCTTCCAAGCTATCCTGTGTTTCTATCTATTTCTCTCCCCTCTATCCTTCTATCTAAATATTTTTCACTTCTCCTTCCTCAAGAGTACCCTGGGGGGAAAATGTGGGAGCTGGTCTCCCACATAGGGACAGAAAGCTAATGTGTTCCCCAAAGTCAGGGATGAACTGGGAGCTCAGGCGCCCTGCAGAGAAGAACTGGAGGGGAGAGAAGAGGCCTGAGAAGGTCTTACCTTTCAGCACGTTGAGAATGAAGCTAAGAATAGCACCCCCTGCAGGTGGTGGTGGTGAGTACAGGGTGTAGTTTCCTAGGGGCATCTCCAGGGGAGCCACCACTTCAGGCTGGAAGGCTGCCAGGTCCTGAACTGTCAGCTGGCTTCCTGGAGGGAGACGGTTAGAGCTCCAGGTGCAGATGGGGATTGCCAAAGAGCAAGAAAGAGTCGCTACTCATCCCAGGGTACCCAAAAAAGTCCCCCTTGCCTGCAAGTGATGTAGTCCCCGAGGGGTGATGGCGAGGGCCTGGGCAGTGGTATAGGGTGGACGGTAGGGGGCAGAGGAAGGCAAGTGGGAAATAGGAAGAGAAAGGTGGCCAACTCAGCCACCCAGGCCTGCCATCGCCTCTTTACAGGCAGACTTGCAAAAGCTCTGCCACAGAGACCCCCGAGGCCAGCAATGGCTAGGCTGGACGAGATGGGCACATCTGGCCTCTCCTGAATCCCAGGAGCACCCAGCATTTCTGAAGGGCCTGGGAAAGGTGTGACTTTAACCCATAGCCAAAGAGCTTGGCTCTCTCTCTAGCTGGACTGGGTGTTGGAGTGTCAGAGCAGCTGACCTTCCTTGGCAATGTCCTCCACCAGCATTCGGCCCAGCCTCCCTGTGTATAAGGCCTCCGCACCCTCCGTGGCCACGGTCTCCAGGGTGTTGGCCAGTGCAGGCCACGGAAATGGGTCCTGAGATCTCAAGGTTTCTGTCCCATTGAAGAAGAGCTGTCTGGGGGTTGTGGGGAGTAGGAGGCAACCTCAGATTGAAGCCAGATCCCAGCGGACACTCACATTCCTCTGGGCTCTAGGGACACCTTCAGGATGCCTCTGGGGGAACAGCCATGGTCCAGCACTGAAGCTCTGGGGAGCTGGTTCTCTAGAAATAGGTGGGGCTGGTGCCTCCACCCTCACTCCTGGCTCTGGAACTTTTCTGATGTGTTTCCCAGGGTCACCTTGTCACCTGCCTATCACTGAGCTAGCAGAGCAAGCCAAAGGAATTATCCAAAGACCATCTGCCACTCCCAAAGAGAAGCAGGAGGAAGCGAGAGCTGAAGGGATAGGACGTCCGTAGCCTAAGTTAGGGTCTGGCCAGAGAAAAGCGTTGGCTACCCTGGCTGTAGGGGCTTTGGCCCCTTAGGGTCAGCCCTCCGGCTGAGGAACGACTGAGGCACAGCTCGACCGTGGCTGAGCTCAGGTAAGATGTGGATTTGAGGGCTGCCCTATAGTGCTCACCTCAGGGTTGATGAATACAAGGAGGGCCGCAGGAAGCTGTTGTTGAGGAACTGGCTGAGGACCGAGGGCACACGGAAACCCTCCCGGAGCAGAGTGATGGTGGGCTGGAAAAGTTGAGCCCAAGGCAGGCGGCCATGCCGGCGGTGGGCCTCGGCATAGCCACGGAGCTCCCCCGGAACCCCGATCCACTGGGCCCCTGCGTAACAGGCACCGGTCCTCAGTCCAGGGCAACCCTGTCATCCCAACTTGTTCTCCCAGCTTCTGGAGCCCATGTCTGACCATAGCGTCCCCTGCATAGACCTCTTGTGGCTCCCCACTGCCTTCCGCATAAAATCCACATGAGGTCACCACCACCAGGCACTGGATCATCACAATAGACAGAACCAGGCCTAGGCTACACCCTAGAGCCTATTCTGCCCTCCAATAAACTGGACCCAGGACCCCTGTCCCACCAACCCATATCCACTGAGTTCCCCAAGACTGCTCTTCCCCTTGGAACACCCCCCTTCTTGGAGTCTCACCCCAAAAGAAGCCCTCTAACCCACCCCAGGAGGCCAGGGGGGCCAGTCTCCCCATGTTCAGAGGCCGTCCCCAATGTCAGAGTGTCACGGCCTGTTCATGAGTCATACGGACCCTTTTAGGGTCATGAGCTCATGAGCTCTGGACAGGCCCATGCACAGTGGAGTGAGTTAGGTTGTCTAAAGAACTCTTCCAAAGGCCTTACCTGTGCCCAGTGGCTGAGCCTTTCTACACTGGTCTAGCAGGCCTTGGACATGGCTGGCTGGCACTGTCTCCCGAGCATTGATGACTTCCACCTTCCCTGGAGTTGAGGCAGGATGAGGGATGGCTCCAACCTGTTCTAGGTCTTGGTTTCCATCTCTGTGTTAACCCCTAAAACACTGTCTCCCACCAGGGCGTTACAAAACAGAAGCAAAAGGCAGAGCAAAGAGTCCCGAGGCCACCAAGGAAGAGGCACGCAAGGCAGCCCGGGGAACGAGTGCCCCAGGACTGAAGCCAAGTCTCTCTCCCCAGGGGGCGTCGCACGAGGGCCCACCTGTTGTTGCGTTGTAGATGGTGAAGATGACCCCTCCGCCCAGGCCCATGCTCTGTGGGTTCACGACACCGGTACAGATCAAGGCTGCGATGGCCGCATCCATAGGCGAGCCCTGCTGCTGGAGGATGGCCCTAGGGGACATGACACAGAATCGGTGATCTGGCTGCCCTTCCCCAGCTCTTCCTGGGCTCATGGGATGGGCATTTACTGGGAAACCGTGCCAGGTTGATGATGGTCTCTCCGCTGGCACCAAACCCCAAGTTAGGTGAGAAGATACAAGGAACTGCCCCCGCCCCTCAAATCCAGCTACTCATTGGCCCATCATCACACCCAATAGATGGCAAAGTATGATGGCATTTAGAATTCCCTGTACCACAGAGAAGGTGGTTCTCAGTTTTCAAATGATTTTGCTGCCATCATCCCCTGGAGCTCCCAGCCACACTGGCTCATTGTAACAGGCAGAACCTGGCCTAGGCCATGCCCCTGTAACCCATTCGGAAACTCCACTGTCTAAGCTGGCCTTTGGTGGGTGACCCCAGGATCCTGCCACTAGGGTCCAGTACTTGGACTGATGAGCTGTGGTGATATATTGTGTAACCCTAATAAAATTTGCCTGAAGATCAGAGAACAGAACAAGTCACCAGATTAAACATAGAAGCCAGGCCGTGGTGGCACATGCCTTTAATCCTAGCACTTGAGAGGCAGAGATCTATGTGGATCTCTGTGAGTTCAAAGCCACCCTGAACTGCATGAGATTGACTCAGTCTAGGAGAGAAACAGAGCCAGGCAGTGGTGGCACACACCTTTAACCCCAGCACTTGAGATCTCATATCTTTGCTTGGGAAGCACACATGCCTTTAATCCCAGCACTAAGAAGGAAGTGATGGCTGGGCAGAGAAAGGTCTATAAGGTGTAAGGAGACAGGAACTAAAGGCTTTTTCAGGCTGAGGAGTCCTAGAGGTAAGATGTGGCAATGGCTTGGTCCTTTGTCTCTCTGATCTTTCAGCATTTACCCCGATACCAGATTCCAGGTTTTTTATTATAAGACCTTTTAGAAATTCAAACAACAATGAGCCCTTCATCTTTTTCTTTTCTTTTCTTTTGGTTTTTCAAGACAGGGTTTCTCTGTGTAGCTTTGCGCCTTTCCTGGGACTCACTTGGTAGCCCAGGCTGGCCTCGAACTCACAGAGATCCACCTGGCTCTGCCTCCTGAGTGCTGGGATTAAAGGCGTGCACCACCACTGCCCATCTTTTTCTTTATCCCCAAGTCTATGACAATGCACTTCTGCTTCCTCATCTGTCCAAGGGGCAGGTCCTTCAACTCCAAAATGTTGGTGAGACTGGCCTACGTCACGGTGGCTACTGTGCCAGGAAGTACAGTTTACACAGCTCACCTGGGATGCCCCTCCCTTCACACCTAGAGACCCTCCCCAGAACCACTCGGATTACTGTTTAGCCCCCAGGTACCACAAGGAACTTAAGGCCCACAAGAGTGGACCTCGGTCTCCCTCCATAACTCCATGGGACCTCTGACCCCATACCTTCCCTCGACTCACTTTACCTGTGACCCAACCAGTCCATCCTGGACTCTGCCTCACTGTGGTTCCTTGGCCTAAATGTTAGTATACCTGGGAAGCCCATCATCACACATGTCATCTTGGAATGGGAAGGAACCAGAAGTATGAACAAAACAAGACTGCCAGATTGAGGTATAAGTACAACTTTTTAAAAGATGTATTTATTTATATTTGTGTGTGTGTGTGTGTGTGTGTGTGTGTGTGTGTATGTGTGCGCGTGTGTGTGCGCATGTGCGTGTCTGCATGTTTGCGTGCGTGCATGTGTGTGTGTTCTGTGTGGAGGCCAGAAGAGGGTGTTGGATCCCCTGAAGCTAGAATTACAGGTGGACGTGAGAACCTGACAGGGGGGCTGGGAGCAGAACTTGAGTCCTCTGGGTTCTCCGCAAGAGCATCAAGTGCTCTGGACCACTAACCCATCTCTCCAGCCCCATCAGCACAAAATCTTAACAATAACACACCATCAACAAAGCTGAACGAAGGCAGAGGAAGGAATGGCAGATTCCCATCTGAGTCAAGGCCTCAGCTCTCGGGCCCCTCGGCAGCAGCCAGTCCTGCTGTGTGCTGCCTCCCACTGGAAGCCCTGTCTGCTGTGTTTTTATTTCCATCTTGGGTTTTCCTTTACCTCCCTGACCTCCTAATAGTGAGTCCTTGGTCCATGTTTGAGCTCATCCATGAAATGCAAACTATACTTAGGACTTCTGAATTTAGTTTCTCTACCAGTCCTTGTAACAGGCTTTCTTTTGGGCCACCAGCCAGCTCCCAAATCATGACATGGAGACTTATTATTAGTTTTGAATGCTCGGCCTTAGCTTGGCTTTATTGTAATCTGTTTCTCTTTATTGATGTTTTGCCTCGGGGTTTTTTGACCTTTCTCTCCCACTGTATCCCTAACTTTCACTGCTCCTCACGTCTGCCTGGCAGCCCTGGCTTCAGGCATCGGGTGTGTCGCTCTCTTTCTCTATCTTTCTCTTCACTCTTTCTCTCTTCTCTTTTGTCAAGCCTAGATTTCTCCTCCTACTTATTCTCTCTGCCCGCCAGCCCCGCCTATCCCTCTCCTGCCTAGCTATTGGCCACTCAGCTTTTTATTAGACCAATCAGGTGCCTTAGGCAGGCAAGGGGAAACAAATGCAACCCATCTTTACATAGTGAAACACATGCAGCAGAAACAAATGTAGCACACCCTGACATCATTAACAAAGGCGGCAGAAACGAGTGTAACACACGTTCACATAGTCAAAGTAATATTCCGCAGCATAAGCAAATGTAACACATCTTTGCCTAGTTAAAATAATATTCTGAAACAAGTCCTCTTCCCTAAAGTCTAGTCTCTTCTGTGAAGCTATCTACAGATGCCTCCCTGGGGGGCTGAGAAATACTCATCATGAACTACACTGCACTGCTTTCCCCTCCCATCTCCACCCCTACCAGAGGCTGCTGTTCTTGTCCTCTCTGGCTTAGAAAATGACATAACCATTTGCTGTTTCACTCTGTCCCTCACCCTTGAAGCCATCCTCTGTGACTCCTCTCTCCTACTCCTGTTAACCGCATGAGAGGTACCCCATGTCCACCACCCTGACCCAAGCTGTCCATCACTCTTCATCTGGGTGTCTGCAGTGGCCTGTTGGACCTGGCCTCCTGTGTCTGCCTGATTTCTGTACATTTCAATAAAATATTCTGGTCACTGGCCACTGGATATCCCAGTAGTGGATGACTAGACACTTTAGACCGAACTTCTCACAGAGAATTAGGAAAGCCGGACAAACCAGAAATGTGCTATGAAGGTGTTGGCAGCGGGGGAGGAAGATCATAGTGAGGGAGGCGGGTCTGGCGTCTGCGGCTACTTCTCCCTGGAGAAGATGGCCAGTTTTGCACAGATAGCTGAGAGATGGAGCAGAGCTTTTGGCACCCTCTGATGGCTACAGGAAGGGATGATGCACGTGCCCCATACCCCAGGATGGGCCTTTTTTCTAGGTGCAACAGCCAGAATTAGACGAGGCCTCTCCACATAGCGGCCCAGCTGCAAGCCATCTAGTAACCCAAAGTATGATGGGGATCCCAGAATTTTGGAATCCCAAGACCTGACCTGAAAAAAACTTCAAAAATCGCTTTTACTCACTTATTATTTTGGACTTCACTGGCTTTTTTTTTTTTTCCAGAATACTATACCAGGCTGACTTCACACTTGTGATGATCCTCCTGCCTCAGTCTCCCAAATACTGGAATTACAGGAGGGAGGCACGATGTTCAGTGGGAAAATTATTTTGAACAATTGTTATGCGTGCTCTCCAGCACGAGGTGGAAAATGACCAAGACAGCAAGGGAATCGTTACAGAGGAACTCAGGATGGAGTACGGACAATTTTCTTAAAAGACCAGCAGGACCCCGGTTATGAAGGCCACAACTTGGTTTTATTTTGTTCTCTCCTCTCTCTCTGTCTCTCTCTGTCTCTCTGTCTCTGTCTCTCTCTCTGTGTCTCTCTGTCTCTCTGTCTCTCTGTCTGTGTGTGTGTGTGTGTGTGTGTGTCTTTCTCGGTCTCTCTCTCTGTCTCTGTCTCTGTCTGTATTTATCTGTCTCTGTCTCTGTCTCTGTCTCTCTGTGTGTGTGTCTCTCTGTCTCTCTGTCTCTCTCTGTCTCTCTGTCTCTCTCTCTCTCTCTGTGTGTGTGTGTGTGTGTGTGTGTGTGTCTCTTTCTCGGTCTCTCTCTCTGTCTCTGTCTGTATTTATCTGTCTCTCTCTCTCTCTCTGTGTGTGTGTGTGTGTGTGTGTGTGTGTGTGTGTGTCTCTTTCTCGGTCTCTCTCTCTGTCTCTGTCTCTGTCTGTATTTATCTCTCTCTCTCTCTCTCTCTCTCTCTCTCTGTCTCTCTCCCCTCTCTCTCTCTTTCAAGGGTCCCACCATGTAACCCAAACCGGCCTCACACTGTGATTCTTCTTCCTCAGCTCCCCAAATGCCAACACTTACAAATATAAACCAAACTACAAATGTCCAAATGACTGTATTTCAAGATCTAAAAGACAAGATTAAAGATTTCAACTCTGCAGGATGGCTCAGTGGGTAAGAGCGCTTGCCCCGAGAGCTGGATGACCTGAGTTTGGTCCTTGGAACTCGTGTAAACTGCCAGGTGTGGTGGCGTACATCTCCAATCCCAGCATTCCTGTGTCTGGATAGCGGGCAGCTCCAGGAAGCTTACAAGCTGAGCTAGCCTGGAGTATTCAGTGTGGCAGAAACAAAAGACCCTTCCTCAAAAAAAAAGATGGGAGATGAGAATTGACTTCGGAAATTCTCCTCTGACCCCCACACATTGCAGTGACCCACATGTACCCGCACTGACACACAAAACAATAGATTAATTGTGTGTGTGTTTTGTTTCAGATGGGATCTCACTATGTTGCTAGCTTTGGCCAGCCTGAAATTCCCTATGTAGACCAGGCCGACCTGAAAATCACAGAAATTCACCCATCTCTAGCTCCCAAACACTGGGATTAAGGTGTGCACCTTCATGCCCAGCTTAACTAATTAAAAACAAAAAAGAGGTTCATCAGTGCTCTGGCAACTGG